AAGTGAGAGAGACTTCTCTTCTTTGGTATGAGGGCCTTGGCCCTTGCTGGACTTGATTTGAAAAAGTTTTCTTTATCACTTGGAGTGGTTATTTTGTTTTTTGTTGATAACTCTATTCCTGCCGAATGTGTACAGGAAAGAGTTGTGCGGATTCTTTTTTACTTGTTAAACTTTAATTTGTTAGTAATTTTTATTTTTGAAAAATGCAGCAAGAATGAAACACTTTTTTGACATTGAAAAGATAAGTTTATAATTTTGTAACATTATTTAACAAATACTTTATTTAATGATATAGGTCTTCTTATTTATTCTGGCGCAACTATAAGCATATAGTAAGTTAGTCAAATTAATTAATACTAAAAGAAAGCTAAGGTATTAAAAAAATATATATTATATAATATAAAAGTACAAGCATATGTGCAATTCACAATAATCACATGACTTGTATCATCTATTTGCAGATCTACAAATTAAAATTATAAGAATCAGATCACTATGGTTGATACAAATTAAACTTTTTTTTTACTAATTTTTTAATAAAAAATATTTTAGTATTGTTTTATGCATAATAAGACTTTTTATTAATAGAGTTCATGCTTTAAGGGTAGGGGGTACTATTTTAAAATTATATATAAACTTAATGGTAAATTTTTTTTATATTTAATTTTATGAAAAATTATATTAAGTAACCTAATTTTAATTCCTAAGATACATTTGTAGAGTGGGTCTTTCTGATTCTAATAGTAGTAAAATTATTAAAATTGGTCAAAAACTCAGTAAGATATAAAGTTTTAAAGATTGGGTATAAAAATTTATTAATTAAATTAACATATAGAAAGCCAATCAAGTTTGACGGTTTTGTGTAACCCCGGAAAATTTTGAGCCAACCCAGAAAAACTTTGTGATATATAAGTATATTTTTTTAAAATGATATAATAGTTAAAATTTTTACCATAATAGATAAATTATTTTATTTATATTTTATAAAATTTTGGCTAAAATTAATTACAACCGTAAAAAGTTTTATTAGTAGCACATTATCAATTTCTATATAAATCTTATTGTACCACCAAAATCATATGACAAAATGATCTACATATCCCTACCCTTAAACATCAGCAAAAAAAATGTATCGAATTTTTAAAAAAATCTTTACGGCTTAAAAATCTTAAAATTTTATGAACAGCTATTTAATTTATTAATAAGATTGTTCTTTATACTCGAAAATATATAATTCCAAATTTTTACTACGATACATAAAAATTTTTCTCATAAATTTTTTTAGATTAACAAGGCAAATAAAAAACATGCTTAAATATTTCTTATTTGTGGCAAATTTATTGTGCAATTATTTTTGCTACTAGAGCTTATTATTTGGTTAGTCTAAATCTGATTCTGAAGTATCTAGGTCTTCATTGTAATCATCATTACTTTTGTCATTAATTTCAACTTCAATTGCTTCCCAGTATTTTTGTACTTCACCAAGGTAATGTTTCCAACATGAGACAACTACATTTGACTTAATCTCCTTTTCAAAAAAATGGAGCAATGTATTTCAAAGAGAAATAGCATCTTCAAACTGTTGTTCTGCTGCAATTTTGTTTTTAATGATTTCCCATACTAATTCTATTGGCTGTAATTCGCAATGGTATGGAGGAGTATATAATAACTTATGACCAAACTTTTTGGCAATTTTAATAGTGGTGAAAGGAATATATGGTTTGTTTTTTTTTTGCTAATTCATATAATTCTGCCTTTATCATATTTGTATTAAATTCAATCTGGTGAGCTTCTAACTATTCAGCTATAGCTTGCTTCTTCCAATTGGAAATTGGTGTTGCTTCAGCATGACGCTTGTGGTATCTTGCACCATCCATGTGGATAATGCACGGTCCATAGTCATGTAAAAGAATTTCACAAAGCTTTTTAAAATTTTTTTCAAATATCTCTGCATTAAAGTTTCTATGGTAATTAACTTTATCAGGTACAATACCAGCTGCTTTTACTACATCTGGAACAGTTGCCCATGCATCTTCGCAATTTCTTCTTCTACCTTTTCTACTTGCTGGCTTTGCTGTTGAATCCCAGACAATAAGAGATTCACGAACCAATTCCTCTTTTACTTGATTAGTATTTCTATTTCGAAAAACAACAATGGCCCCAAAAATTACAAGCATAGACCCTCTTCCTCTTTCATAAACAATACTATTCTTAGAAACCCAGGTTAAATTCTGATTATGATGTGTATGTCGTCAAGAAATACTTCAGGAATAGTTGGCACATCATTTTGACCTTGTATATTTATAAATCTCCAACGAAGGTAACATGCACAGTATGAAATATTTTGGGGAGACTCATGAAGATAGTTTTGTTGCTCACCTTTTTCATAGTGGTATCCAAGTTTTTTTAAATGGCATGCAAGTTGTGCTTTAGAAACTAAAAAGCCTAAATTGGATAATTCTAAAACTAGTATTCAAATAGAAAGTGGAGTGCCACTTTTGTTAGCTGAAAAAATAAGGTTATGAATTGCATTTATATATTCTGCTTGATATTTTTTAAGTGGACGGCAATTATATTTAGATAGCTTAAGCTCTTTATTTTCATCATATTCAGCAAGAATACTGTATGATCAACAGTTCTTTTACCAATTCCTGTTACCAAGACAACTTCCTTGTGAAGATTAGTATTTTGGTAATGTATACTTTTTTGAAAGTAATTGTAAATTGACATAACCATGATTTTTTCATTAGTTGTCAAGGCAATGTGATCACGCTCCATAATAGAATTTTAAAAATTATAGTAAGAAAAGTAACAACAGTAGGGATAATAAATATTATTTATTTGACAAGTTTAGATATTATATCAAAGCTACCTGTGTACTCATGACCATGGATTTTATTAAAAATGCATATTAATATAATAGCATGAGAAAAAAAATTAGAACATAACTGGTTTGATATCGAAATTAGAAAGTCATATAATCAAAATTTTTAAAATAATAAAAAGGAGATTTTATTATTATGTAAATCTGTTTTTTTTTTATTAAAGTTTCTTATCTAGTCTCTATGATTCTAAAGATAACTGGATCATCAAAAATGGCCCAGTGGGTCAATTACAATAGCTATTTAAAGTTTAAAGGTATTTGCTACGTGATCTACAAAATTTAAAGATCATATGATAAACATAACTTGATTTTTGAGAAGCCATTATGATTGACCCATCAGACCATTTTTAATGATCTTATTATCTTTAGAATCGTGAAGACCAGTTAAAGAACTTTTATTAAAAAGTTAAGAAAGGTTTATATAATATTGTAATCTCTTTTTATTATTTATTTAAATTTTTGAGTCACATGAATTGCAATTTTAACCCGACAAATTTAATATAATATTTCTTATCTAAATTTCGAACCTAAAGCAAGTTTTAAATTAGTTTTGGATTCAATATTGCCAAAAGCACTTATTTCTAGCAAAACAATACTAATTTATGTTGATATTGTTATCTATATCTTTGATATAATTTTGGGCCTTACTAAATTAAGAAAATAATGAACATCCTTTTAGCGTGTATAGCACAAAATTCATATGATCGTTGCACAGTAATATTTACCACACTTTTTTATAAGATATAAATCTACTTGCTTGCGTAGTAGCATCGTATAATAAGCTATTCTGATCTTACTTTGTAGTTAGTAAAGTTGATCTGTATAATAATAATTTTGTAATTGCTAAACTTACAACTTTGATTAGCTAGTTTTCATTACAAATAGTTATATTGGCTATTATTTTTTTTAATTTAAATAGCCAATTGTATAAATATTAATTTTGTTTGTTTAGAAAAAAAATTTATTTTTAAAAATAAAAAGATATATTAGTTTAAATCATTTGTATGCTATTTTTGCATTAGAATAAATGAGAAGACCAATACCTTTTAATATAATGAGTATCAAAAAAAATATTTTTTATTAGAGCCATTTAATCACTTTACATTTCTAAAACAAGTATGGTTACTATTCAAATTTGCCTATTCCATTGTTGATTCAACTTTTAACACAAATACATGCTCTCGCTGTTTCAGAGTGGAGACGATTGCAAGTTCTTGAGATAGTATTACCAGCTATGGAGAATGCTTGCTCACAAGCAACACTAGTTGCTTGGATGCTTAAGTAGTCAAAAGCCATCTTTAAAAGAATCAAGTAAGTTTTTTGGTTTGCTTTCCACCAGTCCAGCAGAATTGTGTCTTCTTCAATGCATTGGTGGTTACTGATTCTTCAAGAGAATTGTTAATAATATGGTTAGGAGTTGAAGGCTCTTCAAATTTGTTATGCCACTTCCAAAAAAACTTTTTGGCAGTTTTAATCAGACTTTCTTTAGTATAATTAGAGACAGGTGAAGTTTGCTGATTTTCATATATATATTGGCTCATAATTTCTTGAACTGTTTCCTTGGCATTAATAGCCTCTTCTTTGCTAAAGATTTTGAGAATGGCAAATACAACAGGTTTGTTCATTATGGTCCAATATTCCTCAATTTTTTAATGAATTGATATGGCAGCCACATGTTGAAAAAATTCTTCTTGTTCAATGAATGTATCCAAATAGTTTTAAATACTTAAAAACACTAATCAGATATCACCTACAGTTGGGTACGATGCTGCTGAAAGCAATTTTGTCGCTGTCTCAATTGGTTCTAAAAGAGTAAGCACATCCTAAATTGATATTATTATTTTATTTTTTTATTTTTTATTTTTGCCAAAAATTACTTACTTCTAAATTTTGTTGTTCATTAGAATTTGGATATAATAAATTGATAGATGAATGGTCTGTCGCAAGCAATCGAAGAGGTGTACTATTCCACCTTGTCTCAACGTCTAATTCAGGTTTAAGGTATGCCCATGTAAATAGTCATTAAGATGAGTAGATACCCTAATTTTTGACATTAAGTTTTGAACTTTTTCAACTGAAGAATCAACCATCTTTAGTCCTTGTTTTGCAGCTAGATTGAGAACATAACCTTCCACAAGCAATTATCACAGACTTGTTGTCTGTTGTAAGAGCTAAAACTTTATCTTTGATATTAAAATTAGCAAGAAGGTTGTTAATAGTATCTGCCATATTTGCACCCATGTGTTTGTCATTAAATAGAATAATATCTAAAAGGAATATCATATTTGCCAATTAATATCTACATAGTAAATCATAACACCAAAAAAAGTAGAATGTCCACATGTCAGCAGTTAAAAAAACTTTCCCAGAGATTCTTACAAGGTCATTAACAATTCTACTCTGTCTAACTTCAAATTCATTAACGACTATTATTTTTGTAGCTTGTTTTGTTGGAGTTATATACCAAGAATTAATGAAGTTGATAAATTCATTAAAATATTTGTTTTCAACAATGGTGAAGGGTTGTTGGTCGGCAATAATCTAGGTAATCAATTTTTTGTCTCTCTTTTTTTGCTTATCTTTGTTATGTGGATCTGTTCTAGAAAAATGAAGAATAGTTTGACGTCTTGCAGGTGCTCTAATTTGGTGTGTATCAAGGTGTTTTTATAGAGATGAAACACCAGTAGTTTTTGCAAAAACTTTATTGCACTTTAGACATACAGGTACTATAGGATGAGCGGCTGTATTAGTGTTAAAATAGGGCCAAATCGTCGAACTTCGTTTTCTTTTTGGTCTGTAAGTATCTTGGGATAGCAAAGTAGTAGTTTCCTGAGATACTTGACTATCAAGATCCGAAGTACTATCTTCGAAGAAATCATCAATATTATTTTCGGGCTAATAAATGTATAATTTTCAGAAGAGTCGATATCTGACATCTTTTTTCTAGTAAGGAATAAAGAATGAAAAAATGCTTTTTTATACAATTTATTTATTATTAAGGGGTTTAATTTTATTACATATACTAATGCTAATTTTTTTATTGCATTATCTAAAGAATTTTTTTTTTATAGTTTTTTTTTTTTTTTTTTTTTTTTAAAAAAAAAAAACGCATCTAAGCGTAACCTTTATTTATAATCCCAATTTATAAACTGATTTGAATAC